GCCAGTCTTCCTCTCGGGTCGCGCGCCGTCATCAACCACGTCAAGGGTTTGTGGTCTGTCTTGATGTGGAACGTGTTTGCAATCAAATACATTCGCCATTTCTCCAATGCCCATACCATCGCCAGGCACTCCTTTTCAGTGGTCGGGTACTTCTTTTTGGCGTCTGTGAGCAAGCAGCTGGCCTATTCAATTACTCCGGAAGGTTGCGATAGCACTGCTCCGATTCCAATATCGCTAGCAACGACGGTCACAGTGAAGGTTTCATCAGGGTTTGGTATTTTCAGACACCTTCTTTCAGAAGCCGTAATTGTTTCCAGCTCTTGGAATACCGTCTCCAACTCTGGCGTCCACTCAAACTTCTTGTCCTTTTTTAGCAACTGAAACAAGGGGGCAATCTTTTTAGCGAAATGCGATACGAATTTTGCATCGTATCCTACTGATCCGAAAAACGACTGAATTGGTGTTTGGACTTTGGGGGAGAAAAAATTCGGATCTCTGCAGCCTTCTCGTGCAACGGTTTAATTTTACCTCCGCGGACAACGTGACCCAAGCAGGTGATTGTGTCCCGAGCGATTTGGCATTTTTTTGCACTGAGGTTCAACCCTGCATTTTTTGATTCTCCCCAGCACCGCTTCCAGGCGACGCACATGTTTCTCTGGTGTCTTCGAGAACACTACAATATCGTCCAAGTTTTCCAATATTTGTAGCAACAGACGTCTGAACGTGGCTGGTGCATTGCACAATCCGAACGGCATCCGAACGAATTCGTATTGTTGCCCGTTGACACAAAATGCAGTTTTCTCTCCGTCGCTGGCTGCTACTGATAGTTGCCTATACCCAGACCGCAAGTCAATTAGTGACAATACCCGTACAGAGTGGAGTTGTTCAAATATCTCGTTCGTCAGTGGCATCGAAAGGCGTCCTTTACGGTTGCACGATTCAGTTCTCGAAAGTCGACACAAAATCTGTGAGTACCGTCGGATTTTCTAGTGAGCAGCAGGGTGGCGAGTACGGGCTGGTACGTTTACGGATGATACCTTTTGACAGCTTATCGCGTACCTGCTTCTCCACCTCCAGCAGTATCCTGTGGGTTATCCTTCAGTACACAGGTTTACACGCGGCCTTTGGCATCAGTTCTATTTTATGCTCCAATCAATCACAAAATCCATACTCGTCGTCAGCAAAAGAAAACAATTCAGAATACTTTTCAACGCATAGCTTAACACATGGAATCGAACACTCTGGAACGGCCGATTTCCTTACAACGCTGATGAGAGAATGCGTTTTTTCCTGAGCGTGATTCATGTGCTAGTGATCCCACGAGTAACTTACCTCCTACGAAATCGCACCCACGCGCCTAAGCAGATGGACACCGATTATAATCTCACCTACACCTTCGATCAAGACCATCTCATGGGTAACGGCCACCCCACCAATCCGCACACTGACACATTATTTACCCAAGACTCTGAGTGGCATACTCCCAACGGCACGTAGGCTCAAATTGCACGGTTTCACGGGGACCCCTTCCACCCTAGGCATAATGGAAATCCCGGCATCCGTATCAATAACAGCCAACTTTGACTGTCCCAAAATGAAAACCTCGAGCCTTGGAATTCCCCAGGCAGTCGGATTAGAAACAGAAAAACACGAACGAATGTGCTGATTTGGGCCAAAACGGGCAAGGTGTCCTATGCCGTGGCAACTGAAACATCGCTTTGGTCGAAATCGAGCCCTGAAACGTCTCCTTCCTCGTGATCCGCCTTTTGATTCCTCCTTCAGTCTTCCAATTTCTTCAATTATTTTTTCAATCTTATCTTCATTTTCAACAGCATCCACACGAGCAACCACGTCATCATTTTGACAGGCTTGCGCAATAGAAATTAGGCCCTCTGCATAATTTACTCCGCACGCCAACGCAAGTCTCAGTTTGTCTTTCACCTCTGCCGGCACTGTGTGCTGTTCGGTGATACCGTTTAGACTTGAAAGTATCTGTTTTGTTAACACCAATTTAGTCATTCTCGATAGCTGACATAACACAGGTACATTTTGTGCGTGAACGACCATCACTTAGCACGAGCGTCCATTCATTCATTCATTCCATGCGCGCATTCATGGTTGAGTTCTTCTGCCATTGCCGTAGTGGTGGATGTGGGGCTCACATTCTTTTATTCACTCTAGTTTTCGATTACCTGAAATAGAATTAGCTATATTTCTAGTCTTGAATCCAGCCTGTATTATGGTACCTTTTAGTTGCCCCTAAATACCTGTACAGTCAATATGTTATTTCAGCCGATAATTTTATTTAATATACACGCCACTTGGTCTACTAATATCCCAGGCAACCGCGCAGCCGCTACCATACGAGCACACATCAAGATACTCCTTATATTTCATAGAAGGAGTTCCCGCAGAATGTTTTTATAGGAGCATGAAAGAGCATCGTGCTCGCAAGTTTAGTATTCCGTAGCAATCGCGTCATCTGTGTATGCCTTACGATGATGTTCGATCACAACGGCATCAGTCATCACAAAACCAGCGTGTTTAACCAGATCGAATTCATGGATAGTCTCGCACTGCTGCGAAGAATGCGCCCCGTTCTGAACATGCTCCATGAACCTGTGCTTATTTCGTATTAAGGGATTTATCCTCTTGTTGTGTGTTTACTTGTCACTAAACCTGACACTTTCAATCAAAAGTACACTGAATGCATGTACACAGTTGATGAGATTAGCACACAATATTTGATTTGGATTTTTGATCGAGATGCTTCCTCTCACCCTCATGAAAATCATTCTCCATAATTTGATTTTCAATTTGTACAGGTTTGCACAGATAAGTTTAGGAATGATAAAAGGCGATGACGAGACGATCGCCATTCGCTTATAGGCCCCACCTGTGTGCCAAGAGCGACTGGTGCAGACGATCCAATTGCCTTTACCGTGTGTGAAAACCAAGGCGGAACATGATGTGTCACTTGACCCAAGTGGGTAAAGGTCACATCAACTAGCATGTGAAACTTTCCGACACACACACACATACATTCCCATTACTCTCGACCTCCAAATATTGACCCTAAAATGAGCCAACGGCTATCGTTATGTCAGAATTTTTTCCACTATATGATATGTATGAGCATGACTAGGAATATCCGAAAACAATTGTTCGATCACCGTCTCAAAAATATTATTCCCTGGTGTTCTTGAATGACACTGCTCTCGTTTCCCTCAATTCATTTGTCATTCACCAAACTCTTTATATTCTGGTATAAAACCCACATTTCACTGAATGAATGATATTCATTAGTGTAAAATCGATTATCTTCCAGTCCGGTTAAGATACTAGTTCTGTTTTGGAGTAATTGAGCCAGCTACTAAGGTGTGATGTGCATATCATCGATTTATCTGTTCCTCCATAAATGCAGATTGCCGATAGTATGTTAAGTTTGAGTGCTAATGGATGACTCTTGTGTTGCGTTGTTGTATCACCGCTCAACAATTCACGGCATCAACCTGACGGACCGTATAGCATCCTACCAAAACCGTTCAGGAATGGACACCCCGGAAACCAGTCCTTTTGAATTAGTGCTGCAGAAGAGTCGGCTAGATTGTCGTTGTTACTCATGTGGTGTCCAGGGTTTACAACCAGGTACTCGCTTCCCTTCCAGGTTGATTGTGCTCAAACAATCGAATCGTTCACTTTGACGCCGATTGAAACTCCGAACTTCTCAAAACCCGTGAGTGAACGTGATTATTGAATATGTGATCATTTCATCTGCATTACCACCCGAATCGAGTGGGATTTCATAAGCTTTGGCTTTGCAACACATTATTAAACATTTGAATTGTCTTGATTGCAGACATCAAAACCATCAAACGGCAAACAAGTTGGAGATCAGGATGAACACATCTCATTGGTTCGTTTCTTTTTTGCGCTGTTTTCGGTGTGTGTGTGTGTGTGTGTGTGTGTGTGTGTGTGTGTGTGTGTGTGTG